TCTCTCTCTCTCTCTCTCTCTCTCTCTCTCCCCCTTTCCCTCTGTCTCTCCCTCTATGCCCCCATCTCTCTGTCTCTGTGTGTGTCTGTCTCTCTCTGTCTATCTGTCTGTCTGTCTCTCTGTGTGTGTGAGTGTGAGTGTGTCTGTCTGTCTATCTATCTGTCTGTGTGTCTGTTTATTCCCCCCCCAGTGGGGGGTATGGGAGTATGGAAGTGTGTGTGTGTGTGTGTGTGTGTGTGTGTGTGTGTGTGTGTGTGTAGAGAAAGAGAATGAGAATCCCTTTGAACCCAACCAGCTCCAGTTGCCCAAGGCCTCATGACAGCTCTGAAATCAAGATTACATCTAATATAAAGATGTGCAAAGAGCTAAAGCATGGTTGGAGTGGGGGATGGGAGGAGACAGGAAAACCACCAGTGGTCACTCAAGCTTTCATACAGTCTCCGTCCTTGATGAAACACGAAAAATACTTGAAGGTTTTCAGGCCTGGTGTGTCAGCAGTGACTCCTCATCCCTGGACTTTCAAGTCATAATACCTCATGAAATACGTGTGAAAAGAAAGTTTCCCAATAGTCTCCTCCATAGGCCACAGCCCTGAGGAATCCCTGCCATGTGCTAGGCTGCTCCCTGGAATGCCCTAGCATTTAAAGCAGCTGGAGAAAGGTCCAGGAAGAGGGAGGGTCAGAGGAGGAAGCTGGTTGAGTATTGTCATAGTAACAGGGAGGTTGGAAACCTCCAGATCTGAGCCGGAGCCTGAGCCACCTTAATTGGATTCTTCCTCGGGGCCACCTCTCTTCTTTACCAAGCTGCATTCAGGTTCTTTCCCACCATCCTGCCTTGTCTTACATGCCCACTCAAAGCTCGCCTGCCTGGATCCTTCCAAACATTCCTCACAGAGATGAACTCAGCCTGCCTTGCTGCTCTCATAACCATTTGTTTGGATTCCCTTTGGGACACATAACTAATCCTGCCTTATGGTGCTCCCCTGTGCTCACCCGGTTCCCCAAAAAGAAACAAATTTCTAAACATAGCCTGTCTTCAGTTCAGTTTTGAATCTTTTACCCAGGGAGCTGGGAGAGTGTTTATTTTTCATTGTGCAGCATTTTTGGGGGACGTCTTAGAAAAGAGAGATGTCCTTCGTGTATATAGTGGGTAGCAAGATGAAACTGAGGCAAACTGCTGTACTGCAGGGAGCGGAAATGGGAGCTCTTGGTTTTCTCAGCCTCAGTGATGTCAACAACCCAGGCTCAATGACGGAGAGTAGAAGACAGCAAAGAGAGTCCCTCTGGGAAGAATAGAACTAACACAGACACTTTCTGTAGTAATAGCAATGGGGTAGTGAGATACTGCACACACACACATACACACACACACACACACACACACACATATCCTGGACTCAGCTTGTGTGACAGTTGGTGTCACTATGTGACATGTCATCAGTCCAAGAGCATAGATATGTCAAAAACATGAGCAGGCAGGGCTTTCCAACAACATGGGAGAGCCACTTTCAGGGAACGCCATCTTAAAATTCCATACGGTGTCCCACGAAAGAGCCAGTGTCTGCTGAGGCCAATCACCTTGGCCTGCAGAGTGTGCCTACTCTGGGAATCCCAGAAACATCGGCATCTGAGCAGTGGCCGGGCTAAAAGAGTTCTCCAGATGAGGAGTACTGAAATTCTAATTCGTGCACTTTTTCTAAGTATCTTTTCTTTGACTACAGTGCTGTATGTGAACCTAGACACACAGAACCTAGACATATAGAACCCAGTGTGCCTGGGCAAGAATGCTGGGTATTCACAGGTAGAAAGTTTTGCCATGGCCTCTTTGATAGCTGTGAGACCTTGGACAAGTCATTTAATTTCAATAAGCCTTTTATTTAATAAGCCTTAATTTCAATAACTTTTCTCATCTAGAAAAGATGTCCATTCATTAACTTGGTAAATGTTTCTCAGGAACAAAATAGGTCTCAGATATTGGGGATCCCATGATGAGAGTAGATCCCATGTAGAAAGGAGGGAGGATGGTGGAATATGAAATTACCCTAATGCTGCCATGGGCCATGGTAAGAATATTGACACAGTGAGGGGGCACAGAGCCGGGACTCTGACCTTTACCATGACCCAGGAAGTGTTCCCAAGAGGTACAAGGTTTTAACTGAGGTCTAGAAGATGAGTAGACTAAGAAACTCCATGGTGTTGGGAACAATGATGGGGTACACTTAGAGAAGCTTGTGTAGGCCTCCAAAGAGGAGAGGAACCATGGGTCTCAGAGTGTGAGAAAGAGAAGGCTTCATAAACTTCCAAAGTGGTTGGTGGCCGCTGCTTGGTGCCCTTGTTATAGCTTTTCAGGAGTTAGTATCATAGGGAGGAGTGCATCACCCAGGGACACAAAAACTACAACCTGTCTTCCCGTGGCAATACAACAGCCTTGTAACTCTGAACAAATCCTTATTCTTTATCCGCCTATGAAACAGGGCAAGTGATCCCTCCCTTTTCTGCATCAATGGAAACATATTTAGAGTCCATTAACAAACCCCTGAGCTGGATGTAATAGTGTAGGCCTATAATTCTAGCACTAAGGAGGCTGAGGCTAGAGGAGCTCCAGTTTGAGGCCAGCCTGGGCTACATGATGAGACCCTCTCCCCTACCACCCCCAAATCTAGAAGTTGTAAATGTGAGGTCGTAACAGTACTCAATTCAATCATAAATAAAGCCAGGCCCACTTGGTGTCAGTTCAAAGGTGAGAAGTGAGTGCATAGGCATTCTTGCTCCCGCCTCCTTTCCCAAGGGATCAGGAGATCAATAAATAATCGCCTCTTTCTTATTTGTTTGGAGATATTTCATTTCAGATCATAATCAGACTTTTTGTCTCAGGGAGAAAGTATGCTATTAATTAAGATTTTTTAATTGTAATATACATGAATACTCTGCCTACAAACTGCCATTGGCCCCAGGGGTGGTTGCTTAAAGCTGGTAATCCTAAATGAAAGGACATTAGGTCTGACCACTGAAACATTGGCGTTATCAGGTCTCGGTCCACAACTTATGGAACCTCTGTGGGGTTCATTGCACTGAACCTGTATCAGGCACTCCAAGTCCCCCGAGTGTCGATTCTCTTCTCGTACGTCCTCAGAATGCGTCCTCCTTGCCAACTCATACTCAGACTAGGCATGCTGCCCCCCATCCTCTGAAGTCTTTCCCATGCAGTCTTAATTCACTCCAAAGACCCCTTTCCCCATTAGCTTGTCCGACCCTCATGTAGACTAAATTCAAACACAGGCCAGCACAGCCTTGCCTCCTCTTGCCACCCCACCTTAGAGCCCCTATTTACCTCTCTAGTCTGACAGAACTCACATCGAGGCACTTGCTGGCTCTTAGTTTAGCATTTGGATACTACTTTGGGAGAACTGAAGATGTAGTCCAATGAGTAGAGTGACTGCCTAGCATCCATAAAGCCTTAGGTTCGATTCCCTGAAAGGATAAAACCTGGCATGATGGCACACACCTGTAATCCCAGCACTCAGGAAGGTCAAGAATGGGCAATCCCATGTTGGGAGTAGATCCCATGTGGAAAGGAGGAAGGATGATGGAATAAGAAATTACCCTAATGTTGGCATGGGCTGTGGCCAGAATACAGGGACAGTAAAGGGCACAGAGCTGGGACTCCGAATCTTTAATATGTCCCAGGACGTTTCCCAAGAGAACAAGGTTTTAAATGAGGCTTAGAAAAATGAATAGATTAAAAAACTAGGTTTTAGAAGGGTGGTGGGGTAGAGTAGAGGCAGGAGGGTCAGAAGTTCAAGGTCATCCTCAGCAAAGTAATAAATTGGAGGCCAGCTTGGAATACAGATCTCGGCCTCAGAACAACAAAACCTACTCTGCGGGGCATTTTCAAATTACAAAGAATTCACACGTCTATTACTGTGGGCTTTGGGATTAATGCTGGATGATGAGTGAAGCTATTATTATCTTCGCTGCTAGTGATAAGAAACCTGAGGCTTCTGAGGCTGCAGGACTTGACCTGCCCTCTGGCTAAGCAAAACAGGAACTTGCGGTGTTCTAAGGCAACTCCCTTAAGATAAAAACCATGTCACCGCTCTTACCCCTCCTGCCCTTTAGCACATACCAATCACATAGTAGATACTTAGCTAACACTTCTTGACATGAAATCCACATGCATCTACAAGGAAATAATTCAAATGGCATATTGCATTGATACAAATATGTATTCACACTATGAGCCTCTTTAAGTGTAAAGAGTGGTGCTTGTAGTATTATTTTTATTACAGGGACTCAGTAAACAGTCAAGGGAGACTCCTAAGTATTCTCTAACCCACAGACATCACGGAACAACCAGAGGGCGGCCGCTAGTGAAGGTATTCCCGCTGCTCTCAGAGCAGCCCCACCGCCTCTCGGAAATGGATGGAATGTGCATGTCTGAACTTGCTCAATGGGGTGGACATGCTGTTGTTAGTCCTTGAAAAAACAGAGTGCACCTAAGGACTCAAATTTCCAGCACCTTTAGACATCAAGTAGGCCTCAGCTCCACTACCGTGGCAGGAAGAACTTCTCTGGAATTAGGCGGAGTGATGACTGACTACCTTTCCATTCTGGAAGAAACTGGGGAGATCTCCTATCACTGGAATAAATTTCCCAGGAACTCTAGGCTGTTCTGGCCCTGGGCAGAACCAAGGAATGACTGTTGCTGTTGTTGTTGCTGTTGCTTGTCATGTGCCTTCATCCACCAGAATGATACCAATTCTGACTGAATGTACAGTTGCTAGAAGCCTAGGTGTGCATCACATGCACACCTACTTCACCTGAGGACCCTGTGAGAAGGTTCTCACGTCATCAGCTGATAGTTTGTCTGTCTTTAGGGAGTACAAATGTTTCTCCTTAGAAACATGGATGGATAAGAGGAAAGCCAGTCTGTGTCTCCAGTTGTCTTCTACAGGAACAGTTTAAACAATACATACACACAAGTTTTTTTGTGTATTCTAGATTATCCCCATGTTGGAGATAAAGAAACGGGCCCAGAGCAACTGAGTGATTGTCCCAAGACACATACTGAGTAAGTCATACCTGCTCATCATGCCTCTGTCTACGAGTTTGCAGCTCTTCAACTGCCCACAGCTAGATTTTGTAGCTGAGGACAATAAGTGTGTGTGCATGTTTTTATCTCTCTTCTGTGCATCTATACCTGCAATTAATTTTAGTTTATTAATTAGCCTAGGTAAAACATTACAGTAAAAATAATAGATTGATCATAATACACTGAAATAGGTTAATATATGTATTATTGGCAATATATACTGCAATTTTACTATTTTATATATAATTTACTAAAAAGATTTATATATATATACATTATATGTACATGTTACCTAGCTAATCCAGGTGAGGTAAATATCTAATTTTGAATTTGAGTCTATTAGGATATATACCTATTTCAGTATATTATAATATGTATATATATAATCATATAAATATTGCCAACATCAGTACCCTTCTTATATGAGTCATGGTTGCCAACATCAGTACCCTTCTTATATGAGTCGTTATTAAGTGAAAATTATTTGAACATAGCACTGCCATACCTTCGTATACAAATTCATAACTCAAGCAGCTACTAAGGGAGTACCAGGTGGGTAGTGTATACAGTGTGGAGACGGTGCAAATGAGTGATTCATGTTCTGAGCTGTACACACTGGCCAGGATGTCATGACAATCCTCAGAACGGTGCACAGCTTAAGACTTGTAAGTTGGGTGTTTCTGGAGTTTTCTCAGGAATGTTTTTTGATGGCAGGATATTAGAACTGCAGAAAGTGGAACCTTGGGTGAAGGAGGACTTCTGTAACTGTTTTCCTTTGGAAAAGGCTTTTCAGACATGAGGAGGCACATGTTTGGTACACAGACTAGATCAGGGAAGGGGTGAAGGGAGGGGGTGAAGGGAAGGGATGAAGGGAAGGGATGAAGGGAGGGGGTAAAGGGAAGGGATGAAGGGAAGGGGTAAAGGGGAGTGAAAGGAAGGGGTGAAGGGAAGGGGTGAAGGCAGGGGGTGAAGGGAAGGGGTGAAGCTGGTAGAGTTAACAAAGAGACAGCTGCATCCAAGACTAAAGAAATGGCATATATCTGGGAGAAAGAGCACTAGAACGGTAGAGCAAAAAGATGCTATTTGCCTGGCACTTGGTTGTACTCAATATCTTAGCTCACTAATATATGTCCTGTGCATCTATCAACTGTTATTTATCCAAATGATCAAAAGAGAAAGGTCTCCAAGCACTCTTAGAGATACAGATTTACACCCATGCAGAGGGCAGGTAAGGGTTCATCCCCCACACTGTTCACCCTCTGGGACAAAGGAAGCTGTGATCCAAAGCCTGGTGACTCGGAATCATCACACCATGCTATACATTCCACAAGGGTGAGGTATTATGGAAAGGACGATATTTCTGCTCACTTCCCCGATTTGGCATGGGCATTTTAAACCTTAACCCTGTAAGAAGGTAGTATTTGACTCTTAATTGCCTTGAACTTCTGTTAACATTAAATGAAGGGGGAAATGGAAAGGAAAATAGAACCTATCTGTACTGCTTTCAAGTCGCATAATTGTATATTTTTGCCACACCATTAGTTCCCAGCCTGTAAAGCCTTCCCCCGTCACCACTGAGAAAGAGAAATAAATCCGCCATTCTGTTAGTGCTGCAATTCGTAGAACTCTAAATACCCTTTTCCGGTATTAAAAAAAAAAAAATGTAACTTTTAATTTAAGGTCTATTTTTTAATCGCCACCTGTGTAGGAGCCCTTGAATCACATAAGTGGTTGGTTGTCCTCTTGAAAAAAAAAAAAAAAAAAAACCCTCTCCCTCCTAAAGGACATGAGTTGGAAGACTTAAGCAGCAGTGGCTGGAGTCCCCCAGGAGCTGAACTCCCCCTTTATTTACGGAACAGAAATGGTGCCACCCCGCCCTAGCCACTCCTAACTCGCAGATGACCTCAGAGGCCTGAGCCTTCCAAAAATAAAACCTCACCTAGCTGCTTTACCACACCCACAAAAACTGGCTCCAGACTTTCACCAGACACTTGTAAAGAGTGAAGATGAGGGCTGAGTAACTGTGGTCCTTAACCATACCCATGGCTACAGACTTGGTGAGGACTAAGACCGGGATGTGATCGGATGGGATGTACAGAGTGTGAGTGGTGTCCGTGTGCATTCGTGGACCCTCGGCCTTGGAAACCCAGCTCCTGATGACCTGGGGGGGGGGGGGGGGGAGGAGTGGTGTGGGTGGGTGGAGCACTGCCCTGGGAAGAAAAGCTCAGGGTTCCGATTCTAGGTTTAATGCGGTCATTTTTGTGTTCTTCCTTAAAACGCCACTCCCTGGCATTTCGATTGTGATTTTTCCCCCTCCTCGGTGTTCTTTCACATGTCTTGTCTGTTCTTCATGAGGGAGAGCCAGGGCAGGAAATAACTTCATTTCTCAGACAAGGAAAGGACTCAGAAAGTTTAAATGATGCTGTCCAAGGTCAAAGACCTGGAAGGCAACTGACCTTGAACTAGACCTGGTTCCTCTGACCCCTAGCTTAACATTCTTTGCACCTCACCCCCTCCCAGCATTTTGCACTGAGCCCAGGGATATCTGCATATGTTCTAGCTCCTCCACAATCAATCGTCATCTTTATCATTCCTCGCGTTAACCAGAGACGAAGCTCGGTCAACAAGGAGGTGACTGCTGCTCAGACAGGCTGGCCCTTTGTCCTCATTTCTGCTTTCCCTGTTGCTGGGTAGCTCTCTCTACACAGATGGTGGTAGCACACCAGGAATTTTGTAATTCAGGTTGCAAGCTTTAAACGCCTCCAGGGACCAGGTAGTGAACAGGACTAGATGAAACAGGGATCAGAGAGAACTCTGGCCCTTTTAAAGCTCCACAGACTATGCATTCATGGGATGTTAGTACAGCTCAATATTAGGATTAGCTAAAAACTGAGGATTTTATGTAAGTGAAAAGGAAAAGGGATTAGTCATCATCATAATAAAGCATGGGTGTGTTGGGTATAACTCCTGGAATACAAGTGGGCATTGTACCCATCATGAAGGCTCATGCCTTGGAGGCCCATTGCCTTCTGACAGGGTGTTGGGTTGCGCTTCCCTCTTGCCATGTGTGGGCTTGTTAAAACCTGAGCCCCATCAGGAGGTATAGCTCAAGGATAGAGCATTAGACAGCAGATCAAGAGGTCCCTGGCTCGAATCCAGGCTCCCCCTGCTGATGTGCAGTTATAGAGAGATGATGCAGTGGTTAAGAGCACTCGCTTCTCTTTCAGAGAACCTAAGTTCAGTTCCTAGCACTTATATCACGGGGCTCACAAACACCTGTGACTCCTATTCCAAGGGATCTGATGCCCTCTTCTGGCCTCTATGGGCACTGCATGCATGTAGCACACAAGCAAGTGGATACACATCTACATAAATAAAACTAAATGTTGAAAGTATGAGCCCTTTAAAATCACAATCTAAATATCATCGGGGTATTTCCATAGGATGTGGCACATGTGGAAATTCTCACCTGCTGTAGGGGATTACTGGGTGAGAAACCATCGTCCTAACAGAAAGGTCTTCTGAGAACAGAGATCACATACCAGAGAAGCTACAGCAGAACCTCTGTGTTCCACTGGGATTAGATCAAAACCTCATTTTGCCCTTTGGCAGCTCCACGGCCTTGGACAGAATTTTTTAAATCTCTGATGGCCTCAGTTTCCTCAGTAAAGATAAAAAAAAAAAAGATTACATTGAGTTGTTTAATTCAACCTTGATATAAAGGCTTGATCACACACACACACACACACACACACACACACACACACACACACACACACACACATACACACACACACACACACACACACACACACACACACACACATACACACACAGACAGAGGAGAGATTTGTGCACTTAGCAAGACCTCAACAAATGGTGGCCTTTGAGTCAACAGATCTCCTGTTCTTGTGGAAGGTGCTAGGACCTTTGCCTGTGCTCTGGCCTTCTGAAGTATCTAAGTCAGAAGCCAGGACAAATGAAAACAAGGGAATATTCTAGCTGAAACTAAGAAGAGAACGGCTGATAGTGATGTACAAAACAAACCCCCTAGAAATTCAATCCTGGGGGGAAGGAGGACTGAGTAGGTACAGAGTCACGAAAGGCAACAAATTAGCAGAGAGAAAGAGCCAACTGTAGCTGCCCTCATTTCCTGGGAGCCAGTCAATGCACCCGCTAAAGTAAGTCAGTTAAAAACTGATCAAGCAGGGATCAGAATGAAATGATTTGTTACTAAAAGGATGTTTTAGAATACTATGATGCTTTGCACTCTTCAAGGCAATGTTAAGGCACCCGCCGTGTGAAGGGCAGTACGTGCTTTGCACACACTCTGACTCCTTTCACCTAGAAATGTGTTCTCTGGTTAGTCAGTCACTCAGAAGACGTCAGTCCACATTCCACCAGGCTCTGTGTCAGACTCAGGGCCAAGTGCTGCAGCACAATACATAAATGCCCCACCCTGCAAGCCAGAGGGAAAAGCTGATCGCAAAGCATGGGTGTGAATGCTCCCAGACCCTCTACCATGTGGGCAGAAGGGACAAAGTCCTTGGCTACATATTTCTGGCTTATGAGAAGAAAGGTTAGGAAACATCTTCCTTACAGTCTCTGGGGGGTAAATCTGAGGAAGTTGCTGACTTGTTATGGGCTGGAGATGCTGTGCTCACGTGAGCACAGCCGGATGTCTCAAGGAATCAGAGAGAGCCATGCTTGCCAGAGAGTGTTCCTGAGAGCAGACCAAGTGGAATGAGCTGTTCTTGGGGTCTCTGGCAAAGGTGAGAAAAGAGGGGGAAGGAAAAAGGACAGTGAGAAATAAAGACGAATAGAGGAATTGGAGACTCCAGACCTTCTGTGTTTTTCATAATAGAAAATCAAAGAAAGTCAAAATAAAGCCCATTTTAAACTCTTTCCTTTGTTCCTAAGTCATTTGCTAATTATTTCCCTGGTATCATTTTTAAGAAGAGGCTGTATCTCTGACTCTC